GTGTGCGCGAGGTGGTGGTGTGCGCGAGGTGGTGGGGCACGGTATCGATGACGTGCCCCTCCCACTCCACACTTTCAGACGCGTCGCGACACCTCGCCCATAGCGCGTGCAACAGGCAGACAGGATGCGCTTCAAGGCATCGATACAGAACATAACAACCTTTACGAGTATGTCTCTACCATTTCTCAAGAACATGAAGTAGCTGACAATTACGCAGAGCTTACGGCATCGCTTAATTCGCTCGGCCCGCTTGCGTGGGTCAAACTGAGTGAGGAGCAGGTATGCTTCACAATTATTCCGGAACAGGGCACCCAAGTATGGGCGTAAGTCTAATATCCAACTGTCATCCTATCCCTCGTTCTAATGAAACATAGTGTTCTTTCTATTGTAAGCGTGTAGAAGATTAGTCGAGAAAAGCAGAGCCTTAACATGTGGCGCAGGACGCCATCTTTGAAACCATCAGCGTGCAATCGGCAGCAAACAATGTCATCAACCTTGAAGTACCCCTGGCATCGCTTAATCGCGCTCTGAAATCAGCGGTCAATGCGACATCAGCTCAGATACGCCTTACAAAGAAGGACAATCTGCCTATGCTCGCTCTCACCATCGTTACCACCACATCGTCCAACACATACAGCGCCTTCCCCACAGGCAACAATGATGGCTTCGATACTGCCTTTGACAGTGAATTTGGCGGGGGAAACCGTGAGACAATCGTGACCCAAGAGATACCCGTGCGAGTGCTCGCGCCAGACACAGTTGCTCACTTGCACGAGCCAGCCTGCCGGGAGCCAGATGTGCACATTATACTGCCACCTCTGATGCAGCTCAAGAGCATCAGTGACAGATTTACCAAGCTAGCGCTCGCAGACACAAAGATAGGAAGTACCAACACGTCGGCTAGAACGCGCTTGGAAATCGCAGCAAACATGCATGGCTGTTTGAAGATGAGTATCAGATCTGATGCCATGAACATCTCGTCTATCTGGACCGATCTCAATAACCCAGAACTGGATCCGGGTCACGTGGCAGGAGGGGAGAATGGCATTGCGGAGCACCCCAGTACGCGCATGAAGCAGCTTGGGAGCGCCGATGGGCGAAGCGATGAAGGCTGGGCTGTGGTGCGTATCGATGGGCGTGATTGGGGCAAAGTCATGAGCGTCGGTAGACTGGGCGGGCGGGTCATTGCATGTAGGTGGCCCCATACACGGCACTTATTACCCGTTGTCATGCTGACTTTGCACAGGCTTCTGCCATGAGCACGCTTTGATCTTGTATGTTTACTTGCCTAACGATAATGGCGAGGATGAGTCGGTCTTGACGGTACGTTGATTTTCCCTCCGGTGGATTACTGAACAGGTTACTCATATCAATATAGTACTTTATTAGCTCCTACAGCGCATAGTCATGAGTTCCGAGTATCTTTCTAGTCACCAAATAGTACTACTACTCCTAGGGAGAAAAAAAAGACCCTGTGATCCGCATAATATTACCCAAATCCAAACCACATTATTCAAATTGCATGATGCAGCCTCGCATCCACCCACTGCCCACTCAGTCATACCCGTCCGTGGGAGTTAATTACGTAGATCAGTCATGCAAGGCGACTCAGACCCCATCAGCCAGGGAGGATACCACCAAACCAAAGACGGCTACCTTAAGTTTACGTACGAGCTTATTACTGAGAGGTCTTTACTTATATCTCCAGTCAACAGCCGCTATTTGATCAAGTAACTCTACCTCTGTTGCAATCATCTTCAAATTCGCTTTGGCCTTAGTGAACGGCGCCGTCGTCCTGTCGTAAGGCTTACCGTCCGTCCCGCTGCGACCGTTCTTACCATCTGGCATGCTCGTCGGAAGCCTCCCGAGGCTGCCTGGTGTGGCCAGCAAATACTTGCTGCCTTTGCCTCCAGGCATACCAGAGCCGGCTGGCGAGTGTCAGTAAGTGAGCATCGAAGGATAACTCTTACCAAGCGTGAAGAGAGAGGGAAGGGGAGTGAGATGGAAAAAAAGGTTGTGGTGATCGTACTTACCTCGACCAGGAGTGCCAGTCTGACCAAATTCAGTGGCAGTTCCAGGAACCCCTTTATCAATCACTACAGTCCACCCAGCAGGCCAACTGTTTGACAACGCCAACACTTCTGAATCTCCAATTGTACCTGGTGCCCCCGCATCACCTCCATTTCCACCGTTACCTCCATCTGTTCCAGCCTGCAACTGCACTGTTGGTGCCCTTCCCATCATCGGCATCAGCCCCGGATCCGGCCCACTGCGTCCAAAAGCCCCATCACCACCGTTCTGACCGCTTCCTCCCTTGCCGCCACGGTACAAGATGCTGATGCCCTTTCCGGAAGCAGCCCCCCCTGCGCGTATCCAGCCTCCCGCTACGGCGAGCCGGAGTCGGCCGCCTGCGTATCCCGGATCGCCTGGCTCGCCGTTTTGGCCTTGGCCTGAGACCTGACCTGCAGTCTTGTTGGTCCATTCAAAGCCACTGGCGACGTCAAAGAGGACCAGCGGCACAAAGCCGTTTGTTGCTTGGAAATTTGTGTCCCGAAATTCAATGTCACGGCAGCTGATTTGCACAGTAACCGGGTAGTCCGTGATACATGGAACGCGGAGGGGCAGGTTCTGTAAAACAATCTTTGAAGCGACAATGTCGTAAAGGACAATATCCCCATCTTTATTTGTAACGGCGAATTGGCGAAGGTCGTCTTGAGTCTGGCCCGAGGCTGAGTTGAGCGCTGCTTGTCCTGAGCCGGTGAGTGTTAGAGTCGACGGGAACTGCTTGAGTGCGTTGGTGTCTGGTGAGACGCGAGGTTCAGCCTGGGCGAGCTGCGGCCAGTTGGAAGGGGCCTTTGGTATCGAGGAAACGCTAAATCCTGGTTTTATCTGTCCCGGTATGCTAGTGCTTCCTGAAGACTGCTGCAACCGCCTCGCCCATTCCGCGCCAAAGTGTTGCACTTCCAAGGTATCCTCGTTTTTGAAATACGCAGTCGAGTCCAGCTCACCATAACCCTTGTCCTTATAGTAACTATAGACGCTGTCAACATCGTGTCCGTATGTATTCCCCTTGGCGTAGGAGAACAATACATATGCCTCTCCAGAGCTGGCCTGTGGGATCGAACTCCCAGTCCCACCACCTTTGACCTGTAGAGCGACCTTGCTGCCGTGATGCGTTGCGATGACAGAGCGGAGCTTCTTTTCGTATCCGCGAATCCCGGCGATGGACTCGAAATTGGCGTCGCCGGGGTACAGCATGATGTTGTCACCCGTTCCGACTGCCAGCGCAAGGGCACCAAAGTTGTTCTTGTCGGGCATGGCATACTGTTTGTTGTGCAAGCAGCTCATGACCATGATGTTGCTAGACTGAACGTACGCGCCGGAGCTCTCGGGCCACTGTAAATATTTGTTGTTGCTCTGTATCGTCCACGCAAACTCGTGGGTGACGGGGCCTGCAACATGGCTCGCCCCAGGAGCGATCCAGAAACGACGAGTGACATCCGACTTGGTCCCAGAGTAATGCTTTGCCATCGGGCTCTTAGCAATGCGAAAGTGGTCGGCGTCCCAGTGAGAGAGGAGGATGGGGACATTAGCTTGATTGACGATCATGTGGGAGCAGACATCTGGTTTGCGGACGCCTACTCTACCATAGCCAAAGTCGTTGGCAAACATGGCATTGTTACCGCTGAGAGCTCTTGCGCTGTGACCTACATTATCAAGTAAAAGAGATGAAGTCAGTCATAGAACTAAGGAGTGGAAGGGAGGGCCGCGACTTACCTTGACCAACATTATATATCATGTATTTGGTTATCTCCTCACTATTAGGCAAAAGTGTCGTCTGAATTTTCGATAGAGAAGCTTCACCAGGCTTGACCACTTTGCGCGTCCTTGTCTTGGTCGCTGTCGGCGCTTTTTTAGGTTTCATCCCTAAAGCTCTCCCGTCACCATCAAATCCCAGCGTCTCGACATCGTCCGACTCAGCACCTGCATTCATAAATTGATCCAGTACACTTAAAACCGACTCGGTAACGTAATCAAGCGTGCTAAATACAGCCTGAAGCGTGGCCAATGCGTTAGCCGTAATATCTTTGGTGACAGTCTGCAAGTCCGTCTTGACAAGCTGTCCGTCGTTGTCGGCCAAGTAGCACTCCGGCCTTAGATTCAGAAAACTTATCGTGGGTTGCAGCGGCTCTATTACAGTCACGCCATCCGTAAATGTCCCCGATAGGTCAGGAACATTCTGTCCGGTAGCGATGACCTGCTGGTTTGACGTGTCCACCTTGAAGTTGATCCACTGGCCCTCTTCCACACCGGCTGGTACATCATGAACATATATGGAAATTATGGCGAGGCGGAAGAGACCATAGCTCGGTGCACCGGCCGCTACGATGAGCTTTTGAATCTCGCGGGTGAAAATCTCGTCGGAAAGGGAGTTCTCCGGAATGGCCTCGACGCGGATCTCGGTGGCTGAGCCGACGGGCTGGATGCGGTCTACATAGCCAAAATAGTAGTCCTTGCGGGCTTTGCGGGTGGAGTCGAGGGCCCAGTACCTGTCACGCTTCTTGTTGCGGTCGTTTCGCTTGCGGATCTGTTCTTCTGGACTAAGCGGGGCGGGCGGAGGAGCTGGCGGGGGGGCTGATGAAGGTCCTGAGCTTCCTGTCGTATTTGTCCCTGAGCCAGGGTTGGTAGTTGTTGGAGTTGTTGGAGGCGCGGTAGGATTGCTATTGTTGCCAGGGCTGTTTGGAGGCGACGCTGGCCATGATTGTGTCATTGGGGAAGAGCTTCCCCTTGAGCGGATTGTCTTGCCAAGAAGATATCCGATGCTTCCTATGACGATTGTCGCAATCGCGGGTCCGGCCCAGATAGCAAAGGGTACCACTGGCGCGAATAGTGACCTGCCAGCCGGTGGGATGTCTGCCTCTAGCGGATACGCATTATCAATTTGCACATCAGCTGCAGTGAGACGGTTCATGATCTCTTGCCGCTTGTCTGCGGGAGCTTGACCGGTACTGGTGGACAGGGGCATATGCTGCAGCAGGTAGTCCTGTATTGTTGCGTTCCACTTGGTGCCATCAAATTTGTTGGTTGTGATGTTGGCCGTGAACAGATCAAGGGGTAGGTCTGCAGATGTTGTGTTCTGACCAGAGGGTGCGACATACAAGCGTTGATCACTCTTGCAGCGCTGTGCCACGGCTTGTATGTAGAGGCTGTACGAGTTCTTAGAGAGCTGGTTCATGTAGGCACAGACTGCACCAGCAGCATATTGCTCAGCTGCGCTCTGGCTCACTGCACCATTGACAGTGAGCTCTTGGATGTACAAATCGTAGTCGTTGTCCATAATGATAAAAGTACCCCTCTCCTTGATAATGCGACCACAATTTTACTGTGGAAGCTGGGGAAGTAGACAAGGAGGAGGAGTGAATAGGTTGAGTAGATGGGGATGATTGATACTAGCTCATAGGGAGTACGCTCAAATTATAAACTTATAACCGGCTTCAACAAAACTAGTCTTCCACAGAAAATTTAATAACCGTTTTCTTTGATCTCAGCCAGCCTCTTTCTAGAGCGTCTGATGTGTGCAGCTTTTAATAGCGCATCTAGATCTTCTTAGCTTTTGTGGCGACCCAATCATGCATAGACACGCACGATGGTATTATCTATTTGAGAATAGAGGTTTGCTTCAAGCCACATCGAAGTAAAAGCAATAATAGGAGCTGAATCCTACCGTGATTTTTCTCATCAAATATGGGGCTGTAGGACTTAGTAGTATAATGGAGTTGGCGTTGCACGTATGTCGCATACATGCAACGCTAACTCGCGATATGTGGCACTCTGCGCACGAGCGTCTTAACTCGTATATGCATAGTGATCCCCCGCATCTACAGCACAGACCCTGTTAATATAGGCTTAGGTACTTACACACTAGATGCTATTAGAGCGAGACTTACCGTAGCTGGCTGGAAGTGGTAATTGAAAGATGCGAATTACATTGCAATGGAGCGAATTAGGTGTGAGATGGTCTATCACAAAATGTGATGACACTCGGCTCGGCTACACCTAAGTTATCACATGCCTAAAAAAGAATCTGTATACTGCATAGCAGTATCCGGAGCTGAGCAGCTAAATACATATGGCAATATATCCTTCTCTATCGAGGCTTGACTTGAAGCTCTCAGCCTATCAGACCAGCCTTTGCGGACCTGTGGCTGGCGCAATAGAGTGGGCCACACCAGAGCTCTCTGGCTCCTTGGGCCGACGTCGGGATCACTTTGACGAAGAACCGCCGAGTTCCCATCTACGGCGAGAGATCAGTAGCGAAGACATATACGCCTGCCGCCATCCAGATTCTAGAAGGCTTTGATGGTTTACTCCTACTTTGTTGTCCGGAAGGCGATGGCTTCCATACTATACCCTTCTTGCCTACCTAGGTCCCTGATTGGATTTGCGTTTGAGCGTTTGGACTAGGTACCACCGGCTATAAGAGGTTTGTAGCTGCGGACACCCTTTCTACAGCGTTAAAAATCAATGAACAAGATCTCCGTTTAACGATCAAAGGATTTCGATTAGACAATATCGTTTCCAGTAGCGAGACCAAAGAGTCTATGCTAGGCGGAGCCCGTTTTCTAGTTTGCTTCAGATTCTTAATGCGATGACTCTCACCTATCGTACTAGGGCAATCTCTATTAGAGGTACTATGGTGAACACTGATGATGGACAGAGCGGGTATCCTTCCTCGTTGGCTTGCTCCTAATAGCTACCGTCCTGTATATGTCTCGTGGATTGCTTCGAAAATATCATGCCGTGTAAAAGACAGTCTAGAATATCGAAGGCCTAGCTCTTGAGAACATCATAGCGGATTTCGTACTAACTGAGCTCTCCGATTCATTATCACATACAAATGCGTCATCGACACCGTATGGCATCGCTTCCTTGGAGACACAAAACAGCTCCCTTAATCTTAAAGACTTTACTATAATGTTTTCGCCTTCTCTTTATATTCGGCGTTTTCTAACGAGCAGAGGCTATCTAACAGCAGGCCTTATATCTATCTAGCGTGAAGTCTATTGGATTATCTTTCTTAGGAAAATAAAAGATAGCTAGCTATACTACACCAAGAGATACCTAGTGGATCTCTAAGAGTTAGTTTCTTAGTTTAAAATCTCGTAATAGTAATGAAAATAATCTAATGTCTAACTAGAGTAACTATTTACTAACTTTATAAGAGGATATGTTTCTATATATAGAATTCTGGTTAGTACAGCGAAATATTGAGGTATAGCTAGTGATATCTTATATGAAAAAATTATACCTAAATACTAGCTAAAGAACGAGTTCCGAGGCTATCTACATGCACTTCTTTGGCTATGCACTTCACGTTGCTCACATTAACCGTACTTCAAGCCCAAAGCGACTTGTATCGCTCCCCCACGTTACACCAGAGCCCCAAATAAATCCTCATCCCTCGCCTACCCCCGTCCACGCCCCCGTTCCCAATCACCTCTGGCCTCGTGGCGCAAGCACCAGGCGGAGCGCCCCATCCCATTGCGCCGGGAGCCCGGGAGGCGGAATCGCGGAAAAGCGGAATGCGGTGTCTCGGGTCCGATACGAACATATGTTTGGCTAGGGATGCCATTATCAAGCTATCCAACAAATGTAACACTCCGTGAGGCTATGAATGGCTTACCTGAACGTTCATAGCCCGCCCACAGCCCGCCCACCTCGTTCCCGCAGGCGCCAGAAACGAAGTGTGAGTGAGTCGAAATGGGCATCAACTGAGAAAGTTCAAACGGTGATACTGACCACCTTCGATCCAACATCATTCGATTCCTCGGGTATCGGGACATTATCCAAGCAAGAAGAAACGTCTGGGCATCCCCATCCATCCCACCTTCTCCTCCTACTATCTCCTTGCAAACCCGCATATCCGCACTCCCCCCCACGTATCGTCCGCACTCCCACCCTTCAAGACAAAAAAAAGCACCCAAAATAAACCCCCTCACACCACCAGAATGACCCCAAATATCCCTTCTTTAGGCTAAGCGCAAGGCCCCAAGCTGACAATACCGCTCGGGTGATCCGAAAATAAACACACCCACATGGCCTCGCTGCCCCAGCCAATGAGAAAGCGTGGTGTGCGTTGAGGAAAAGCAAGAGTTACCGGTTTGGGCGGAGATGCAACGTCATGTCAGCAACAAAGGGAGTCATATTAGGAATCAAAGTCAGTCATCGCCAGGCCAGGTCGGTCAGCCCTACAAGCGCTTGTCGCGCTTGTTTTGATTTTGCGTGTGTGTGTATGCATGGGAGAGAGTGGAAGAAGCTATTTTTGGAGGTGGGTTTGGGCCTCGGTTAGGTGGGCTGGCGGGATACGAAGGGCGTGCGTGCGGGACCGGCAGAGGGGGAGTTGGAGGTGTAGCCTTGGGGCTTGTGGGCATGTTGCGAGATGGGTGCGTATTGGAGGGGAGATAGGGATGGTTGAGGGGGGAGGTGAGGGAAAGATGGGAGATGGGAGGGGAGGGAGGGAGGTATGATAGGAGAGGGTTGATTGCGGGTGCAACGAGACAAAGGTATTGATTGCTGGTGAGGTGTCCCGAATACTCTGCTACAAAGGTATGCAAATATTGCTGGTTCCGTCAATCGATAGAGATGACATCAATCTTGTGCCTTGCTGCCTGGATTCTGCACCTCGTTGTGTTCCCTGCATATGCACATTCCGACTCGCACACCCATGACTTGTTCCCAAGGCGTTGGATACCGATGGGAATCGAGGTCCAGCGTAATCCTCAGGGGTCCTCGTGCCATGTGCTTGCTGCTGGTCAGACTTTCCCGGCCTCCTGGGCTGCCACAATACCTGCTCGCTCGTGGCTGGTCCTTGGGGTCATTCGAACATGGCGCATTTCCCAATGCCGAGTGGCCGGGAAGCCGAGGGAACGTGTGAGAGCATGCAAGATGTATTGGATAAGGATCGGGAGTCAAGCTTTCAGGCGTGCATTATTTGCTGTGTGGGTGAATAAAGTCCGTGAGCGTTTTCCTCCTCAGGAAATTACAGTGAGTCCTTCGTTCGGGGAGTAAATCCTTCACAGCCCTCGTGGGTGTACAGCCCGCGTTGTTTTAGCATAGGTACCTTACCGTACCAGACGAACGTTGGTTCCTGCATCCTAAAATACCAGTGTGGAGACATGGCCGCTCAGCTGAGGGCTGGCAGCGGTAGCTATACCCAATAGAGGCATATAGTTGCCCACTATGATAGTAGCGGGTGCTAGAGGGCAGTACAGCTGGACATTGTGCGCTGAACGTACCAGGATGTACCAGAGGCCGTCGCCGAGGGCTGCACACGTCGCCGAAGGGCTGCATGACGAATGCTACCGTTCCTATCGCCCAGGCACCTTTTGGCATAGACAGGCATAAGGGTGTGCGGGTAGGGCTAAAGCACAAGCGCTCTGACATGCACCTGCAAGTACGTATGCTCGCGATGGTGTCGAAGCAGCATCTTGGCTAGTAGTGTTGTAATTTGATTCGCCTACCTCAGGATTCCTCCAAGCCCCCCTCATCTGGGCGGCGGCCCCGAGTCCAGAGCAAGATGGTGCAACGTTGCGCAGGTGTGGTTTGCACTTGGACACGGCTCGCACAACGAACTCTGGCTACGCACGCGTGGCTTGCTCAGAAGCGGCATCTTGCACAAAAGAACATGGGCTGCTCCGATAGGATTCCTGCCATGGAGTAGTAAGAGCTGCGCAGTGCAGATGGTTGACCGAAACGGGAAGTGAAGACGACCGGCAACGATGCTGCATGACTGTATCAAGCTGTCCAATGACATGGTAAGGTACGCTTATGGATGAACAAAGCCGTTCGGCGAGGAGCTCGCATGGGCCGCCCAAGGCCATGGCGTGGGGGAGGTTGGAAGGGGAATATGGTTGCTGCGAAGCCAGTCGTCTTTGCATCGTCATATTCTAGTGTCGTCATTGTAAGCAGCGATTGAGAGCAGCATCAAGACGTTTGGAGCAAACTCTCGCATCTTCTGCCTTACACATGACGAAGCACGTGTAGAATGACTCTTCTTTTCGCACGAGAAACTCACCAATAAGCAGCTCCGTCCCACGCTTTTCTGCACGCTTCTGTGTAAGTAGTCAGCAAGCCAAGTTAAGCTGCGCACATTACATACTACGTACATACACACCCATCCACACTGTCTGCCCATGTCGCTCGGGCCCCCTGCCCGTCCGTGCATTTGCATCACATTGCGGCTCTCTCACCCGGCGGGTCCCTTTTTTCCACACTGCCACGCCCGCCTAGCACTTATTCCTGTCTTCCCAAGCGGAATCCCTATGGCGCGTTGCTGCG